TCTCCTGTCAGGGTGAAGGAAGAACGTGAAGCTCCTGTCAGGGTGAAGGAAGAAGGTAAATATGTCGTTGTTGGGTGGACAGATATGAGCAGTTTACAAAGTGAAGAAACCATGTGAAATGATGAAAGGGATGGGGGTTACTGCAGGGAGAGCAGCAAGTTCAAACAGCCCCTTGCAGCTGGCGAGGACAAGCTCCAAGAGGAAGCAGATGCTTTTCCCACCTGACCTTGCTTCTCCTTCACCTACTCTCTCTTTTCCTCCATTTTCTAATGCCATGTGGGTCCCTGCCTTTTGTGTCATTAACACCACAAAAGCTTTTGTGGACTTCATTGGTCTGCAATGATAATGACATTCACTGCTCAGAAGCTTGTGATGTAGACAGACACCCCTTTATTACTGACAACTTTCTGTGTTTTGTTTTGTTTTTTTTTGTTTTTTTTTTTTTTTTTTTCCGTAACAGGGTTTCTCTGTGTAGCTTTGCGCCTTTCCTGGAACTCGCTCTGTGGACCAGGCTGGCCTCGAACTCACAGAGATCCACCTGGCTCTGCCTCCTGAGTGCTGGGATTAAAGGTGTGTGCCACCGTTGCCTGGCTGGGATTTATTTTATTTTATGTATGTGGGTATTTTGCCTGCATGTGTATCTATGCTCTACTTGTCTACCTGCTGCCCACAAAAGCCAGAAGAGGGCATGGGATCCCCTGGGATTGGAGTTGCAGATGGTTGTGGGTGGCCATGTGAGTACTGGGACTCAAACCTGCGTCCTTGGGAAAGGGTAGCCACTATTCTTAACCATTGGGCCATTTCCTCAGCCCTAACTTCCTGGGATGTCTGTTCTCCATAATCTGCTTTAGCTTTCTTCTTATTGGTGGAGCCTTGTCGCTGGTTTTCCTCCCCTTTATTTTCTTCTCTTGCTTAATCATGTAATAGTTCCTAACTTAGGCCATTTAAGTCTTTCATTCTAGTCCACAGTCATGATTAATTCCCATAGAATAGAGAGGTGTTTTCTGCTCAGTCTCCATTCCATCTGTACCCACTTCCTAACAACGTCTCTTAACCCTGAAGGATATCAGTAGGTAAATAGAGTAGGCCAAATCCATGCTGAAACAAAAATCCTGTGTTCCCAAGCATGCAAGTTACAACCTGATACCTGTCCATGGTCCATCAGACTCTGCATCACCAATACCCACTATTCTATAGTTATCTGGGTCCCACCTTCATACTCTGTGTCTATTGTTTACTACACGATGCCCACATCCCCTTCCCTGGCTCCCACTGCATGCTGACCTCCACATCTACACAGGCTCCCTCTGTCTCCTCCTCTGATTCGCTCAGAGGACCCCTCCCCTGGAGAGCACCAACCTGGTGGCCCTGTGAGCGCCCTCTGCTGCTTTCTCTCACAGGTCTGCTGGCTTCTTCCCCCACATGAGAAGAGCTGAGTGTGTGGTTCCTCTCCGATGATGTCTCCACAACACTATCAACTCCACAGGAGCAGGGGAGCTCCCTGTCTTCCATGTTCACTGATGATGCCTAGCGCTTGGCAGGTGCTGGGCATAACAGAACATGAGTAAATGACACAGACGAGTCAGAGGGAGAGGGAAAATAATTCAGCCTGGCACAAAACGGAAAGATGAAAAGTCACCTATAGATGCAGATTCTTAGTGAAGGTGTGCAACTAACATTGTGGCATCTTTAGCTTTTCAACTTGTAAGGTGTATCAGTGAGACTCTAAGCTATGAGTACCAGGGATCTGCTGTTTCATCACTGTCCTGTCCAAGTTGTTTGTGCACATGTTCATGGAGTCACAAGGTCCACGGTGGTGTTCTTCTATGCTCTATCCTGGGCTCAGTTTGTCATGGTTGAGATTTTTCTCTGGTGTACTCTCCTCCTCTAAAATAATTTCAGACCCTAAAGAGCACAGAGGTGACTATGTGGAGTCATGGAGTCCCCCCTTCATAGCTCAGTTTGCCGCTTTGCTTTCCAGATGTTTCTGACAACGAGGAAGCCCAGGTGGGGATGACTGAGGGTGATTCCAAGCCACCTACAGTCTTTCTGCGAAAATGTGATAAAAAACGGCTGAAGTCTGAGGCAGAAGATGCCAGTCCACAAGGTTCTCTGGCTGGTGGTGCTCTTCATCTCAAAGAGGAAATTAAAGTCGAAGCTGCAGAGGAAAGTGTCAGCCTTGAGCACTCTGCAAGCACTGCTAATGCACCAGCAACATCTTCACTGGCAATCAGCTGCTACGTGCTCCCACTGGGCCCAGAGGAGGCTAATCAGGAAATAAAATATGCCCTGATGGCAGAAATCCGACGCTTCGGACGCCGTAAGTACCCAAAGAATGGCTAGTAACAGACAAGAGAGATGCCTCCAGTTGTATGATTAGAATAACCTGAAACTGCCTCAGGAGAGGGAGCCTTTGCCACAACCGGGGTTTTCTCTATAGTTGAGTACAGTCGCTCTTTGACTAAAACATCTCAGTGGACTCCATCTTTCATTTGTAAGGTTGCTTGGTTATTTCTCATAAGAATTGTATTAGTGTCTATGCTTAGGCATTTAGAACACATACCCACCATTTAACATTCCTGACCAGAAAGCACATTACTGAGGTACACACGGATCCACCAGTTCTATTTCTTCATTTCTGAGAAATACTGAAATATTCTTATATTCTCTTCAGATTATGGGAGGATTTTCGAGCTGCTTGAAGAAGTGCAGGGACCTCTGGAAGTCCAGATTCAGTTTGTTAAGTTTGCCATCAAGGAAGCCGCAAGGTGAGTGAGTGCCCAGAGGAACCGCACATCTTCACGGTACAGTGGTTGGGTGTAGGGTGGAGAACAGCGCCTGCTTTGAGTTTCTCAGTCCCTGGCCCCCACTTTAGAGTTAAGGCTGGTGACACAGACATTTAGGTTGATGTCACTTGTGTTCGACACGTCCTTCCAGGCCCACTCAGCCCTCCTTTGTCACGGTAGTCTTGAGCTGGGCACGGAGCCTCATAGACACCCTTCATATTGGCTAGAGCACCTGGTGCCGGGGATGTGCTGACTATTCCCACAGATGGGGAGCCCCTGCTTTGGGTCACACAGAACTTCCTGCTGCACAGCTTCTTTGGGTATCTTTTTTTACATGATGTGTATGTTTATTTTCAGATTTAAAAGATACCACTTGATAAGTTACCTCGACGAGATGCTGGACAAACTAATGTCCGAAAGCACTATCAGGGGCAATCTAAACCTGAGCGCATGATCCTGTTATTACTGTGGTCAGCAAGATGCAGCAAATGGTTTAGTGTGTTCCTGGATGTAGGAGGAGGATGCTGAAGTCCCCGTGAATGTATTAGCTAAGATAATTACCTCTAAGAAAACTGTCTTAAACTACTTTTAATAAAGATGGGCTTTCTCCCTGTGCCTTTTTTTTGAAAGCATAATTTCTTGCTGGTTTGTTGATTTTTTTCTCTCCCCTCTGCTGGTTGATGTTATTGATGTTATTGTCTCATCAGGTAAATATCATGACGAGTCTGTATTCTGAAGCAGGTCACCAGGGTAATCTCTGGTATTTAGAACTGTTGTCTTTCCCAAGTATTGCTTTGGGTTTTTTTTTAATTTGTTTTTGTTTTTTGGTTGTTGTTTGGTTTTCTGAGACAAGGTCTCACTGTACGACTCTGACTGTCCCAGGACCCAGTATGTAGAATTCACAGAGATCTGCCTGCCTCTGCCTCCTGAGGACTGGGTTTAAAAGTGTATGCTGCTATACCTGGTGTCCCAACCATCTCATATTCCCATTGTCCAGAGATAGCCTCTCAACAGGTCCAGGCGTTTGATTTAATGAGCTATCTCCAAGCCTTTTTACTTAACCATCTGCGCTGGGCCATTTCATGTCCTGTGTGAATTGACCTGCTGGAAATGTCCATCACCTCTAATGACAAAGCACAAGAGTACTAAGAAGGACTCCGTACCTTTCACACCATCCTCCTTTTAGCCCTTGTAATGCATTCAAGTATCATGTGATAACCAAGTATTCCTCCAGAAATACTCCCTCATATGATTGTTGATTGAGAAAGATGCAGTTTCCGTAGTGGTGATCTTTTTTTTGGGTTTTTTTTTTTTTTTTTTTTTTTGGTTTTTTGAGACAGGGTTTCTCTGTGTAGCTTTGCACCTTTCCTGGAACTTGCTTTGGAGACCAGGCTGGCCTCGAACTCACAGAGATCCGCCTGCCTCTGCCTCCCGAGTGCTGGGATTAAAGGCGTGCGCCACCACCACCGCCCGGCTTGTCATGATCTTTTTACTTCCACTTCCATGTCAATGGATTCATTTGGGGATCTCCTTGCAAAGATGATCTAGCAGTGTCTCAAACTGTCAGGATAGGAAACCGGAGGTCGGTGTTACATCCCTAGGAGTAGCAGGTGGGGTTGGATGCTTGCATCACTTCCTTTATCACCAAAGACATAAATGAGGCCGATACAAACTGCTCCATACACTTGGTAGCAAAAGAGAGACTTGCCACCTTCTAGGTCCTAACTATCCAATTTCACAGTCAGTGCTATGAGCTAGAAACACAGGCAACTCCTCAAACATAGCCATTTTAGCTAGGAGTGTTGGCACACACCTGTCATCCCAGAGTTTAGGAAGTAGAGGCAGGAGGGTAAGGTTTTGAAGTTTATCCTTGGCTATAATACAAGTTTCAAGGCTAGCCCAGACTAAATAAGACCCTGTAAAAAGTATCATTCCATTCCTATTTCGAACTATTCAATTCCAGTTATAGGAAACACAATGAGGCAGTGCATGTCCAGAGCATGCACACTGGATGCAATCTCCCAATTTAAAGACATGTGCACCACAACGGGCAGGAAGTCATTTTCTAGGTCAAGGAGTGATGGTTTTCTCTTGATAATATGGCTAGGAAAGGAAGTCGTGCCTTAAATAAATCTCGATGTAAGTAAGAACAAATCTGTCCTTCTACTTCTTTCGGTCAGTTTCCAAAACCTTGGGCCTGCCACCTGGCAGCCAAGTTCTCTAGGACGTAGTCCCTTATGCAGTCTCACTGTCATTTCCCCTGTTGAGAGATTGGGATTGATCTTGGAAGTTAATCTTCACAGACTGGTGCGTACTATCCCACCTGACACCGTGATCACGATGTCCGGTAACAGTGCGGAAGCTTTAAGAATGTGTACCAAAGGTGTATGGGTGTGGTCCTAGCAGCCTCCAGTGCTGTTTCGCCCTGCATACAATCTTAGGAACCTAGATCTGCCACTAAGTAGGCCGAGCTTGGCTGTGAGTTTTCTTGCGCTCTCCAGCCCCTCAGCGCTTGCCTGAAACCTCAGCTTTGGTTTTGTGAGCCTCCCAGCGGAGCCCCACAGTGCTGTTCATTTACATAGTTTCCGCTTTCAGCTGCTGGGGGGAGTAGTTTGTTCAGCAGCAGTGAAGGAACTAATGTAGCTGCTGCCTACATGTTGTTAGTGATTAAAGCCACACGTGAGTTTTCGAGCATATTTGTTTTCTTGTTTTGCGTATCAACTGGCCACAGGGAACTATTCCTGAAGCCACAGATGCTATACAAGAAAAACCCTGTTTTTCTGGGCCCTACTCCAAACTAGCAGATTCTTGCTGAACATTGCAGCACGCAACCCTGAGGTAAATTGTTGCCGTGTCCCTCCTTAAAGCCGAGATGTGGGTATTTGTTCAGCTTACAAGCACTGTCTTGATATGCCTTAGATTATGTGATCACCAAAGTGCGACTCATTTCAAAGGCCTTGGTTTGGTTTAGGGGTGATTTCTCATGTTCTATCTAGCAAGCACACTGCCAGGGTATCTGGATTAGTTTCCATTTCCTCCTCAATGAGAATAATGCCACCAATTCAAAAGAATGATGCCATGATCCCTAAGGACTGCTTTAGGATGTAAGTCTGAGGTAAGATGTGACACTGGGGGATGGAGAAATGGCTCTATGAACAAAGTGCTTGCTGCACCAACTTGAAGGCCTGAGTTCAAAGCCCCAGAACCAACACAAAAATCAGGCACAGTCGCTTATACCAATAATCCCATTGCTGCAGCGTGGAGACAGGAGTAACCCTGGGGCTTTCTGGCTAGCCAGCCCTATAGATGTAACCAACAGCCCAGCTGAATTGGCAAGCTCCAGGTTCAGTGAGAGAAGCTGTCTCTTGAGACAGGGTTTCTCCGTGTTGTTTTGGTGTCTGTCCTGGATCTCGCTCTGTAGACCACGCTGGCCTCGAACTCGCAGAGATCCGCCTGGCTCTGCCTCCCGAGTGCTGGGATTAAAGGTGTGCACCACCGCAGCCTGGCCCAACCTCACTTTTAAAACCAACCTGCCCTGATGATTACTAACCCATTCTAACATTGATAATCCATCCTGGAATGGAGATGCCTCACAATACAACCATGTCTTAGGAGCTCTACATCTCCAGTCTGGAGATGTGCTCAGTTGTACAAGGCCCTCAACTCTATCTTCAGCACCAGAAAAAAAGTTGTAAAGTTCTACCTCTCAACTCTGTTGCATTAGGAAGTAAACCTCAAGGGACACATTCAGTCATGCTGAGTAAGATGCTCAGCTTTGGGACCTCATGGGGAGCATGCTGCAGCAGAACATCCTTTTGAGTATAGAGTTTACTAAAAGACTTATTAATGCCATGGGCATACTCACAACCCGTAGCACAGATAGGGCCTAAGCAAAGTTAGCACCTAACACCATAGCTAGGCAGTCAGCACAGTGGGAAGTCTAATTAGAGTTTAGGCTTACAAGGCAGAGTTGCAGTGGGGTGGGGGGTGGGGGGGCTGTTCTTTGAGATCGCAGAGGAGGCTGGAAGGGTTTTTAGCATGAACCTACAGCCAGACTGCCCTTGATTCCCTGCCACCCAGTATGTTCATATGTCTTGATTCTATTTCTCTGGAGACACCTGAACAATCCACCTACCTTTACAACGCATCCTTGCTCTAGTAACTGATCATAGATCCATTTGGCAAAGACTGGGACAGCAATAACAGAGGAATCATTTTGCAGTTGTAGCATGCATGCCTCTTCCTTAAGGGCAAAGCTACAGCAACTTCTGGCAAACAAAACAGTCATTAGAGAGGTGCCTGGGCTCTCCTTGGGAAATCGTTTCCGAAGTCGTGTCCTCAGGGCATACCAAGGTGGCAGCCAATTCACTTCAACATTGCAGTCTCATTTCGGCTCCAGATGCCTTTCTGTGAGTAGGCCAAGCCCTGTCTGAGATTTGTCCTTAATTTGGAATAAATCACCCTTGGACCATATTTCAGCTCACTAACCAACAGACTGTGTAACAAGCTCCTTTCCCCTCTGAAATGAATCTACCGAATGCAGAGCCTTGGTATATTAAGTCCACATCAATATGTTTAGTGTTGTTCAACATCATTTTCCTCCCACCTTCATCCACCACCCTCCAAATCTGTATTTGCACAGACTCCCTGTGCTCCTGCCTGGACACAAATCCGGAAATCCTGGAGATCACTGAAACTCTTCATGATTGGTGGGGGGAGAGGGGGCGGGGCTAGAGAGAGAAAGGGCGTGGGCTGCACCTTCTAATGAGGATCAGCAGACCGCTCTAGCTCCTGTGAGACAACGAAAGAGCCTTCAGATGATGAAGACAAGACTCAAAGCTGCATTTCTGCTAATGAGACACAAGAACATGTATAATATTTAGTAGTCAAGGGAAGGAGCTTCAGCAGAGTTTGGATATGTGTATTCCAATCCAATATTTGAAGGATTTTAAATTTACTTTCCTTTTCATAGACTAGCTTTATTTTTATTTAATTTGAATTAATTTTTGTAATTCTTTTTTTTAAGACAAGGTCTCACAGTATAGCCTTGGCAGTCTTGGAATTTACTATGTAGAGCAGGCTAGCCTTGAACTCACAGAGATCTGCCTGCCTCTACCTCCTGAATGATGGGATTAAAGAAAGGCATGTGCCACTATACCCAGCCTTAAATGTGTTATTTATGATTTACCAGTACAATTATATTCATTTATGATACACAATGTAACTGTATATATGTACAGATTTGGAAATGATTAAATGAAGATATCTATTACCTCATATGCTTTGAGGGTCGGAACATTTAAAATCTATTCTCAAAGCCATTCCTGTAACCCTGACACTCAGAAAACTTAAGCAGGGGGATCTCCAACAGCATTCTCTGCTGCATCGCCAGACCGTGTCTGCAAAGGACAAAAACAAAGCCCACACTCGCAGCAATGTTTAGGTGTATAGAACACGGTTATTATAATGTCTTAGCGCGAGCTGCGGTTGCCAGGTTACATGTTTAAACTCTTACGTACATTCCTCCTATCTAAGCACCTTTGTGTGGCCTGACTACCGTCCATCTCCTAATCTCTGGCCCTCAGTCCTTAGCAACCACCATTCTTTTCTCTCTGTTTCTGCGAGTTCAATGC